CCAATTGAGTGCTAGAATGTATTTCTTCAGGCATTCTATCATTCGATCTTTTTGTAAAAAAAGCCAAGAAATAGAAGATCTCAAACCCCATATATACACCTTAGCCGAAGAAAGCAGAAATAGTGAGTTAGTCACCATACAGTAGTTTCTTCAGGACCTCTCCATAGCAGGAGCTCACTGCCCTGGCATAGCCTATCAATGGACTTATCTCTACAAAGATGAAGAGCAACCCTACTTAGAAGAAGAAAGATGTATAGATAGGTCAGAACATTTTGGTCGATGCCAGTGTAATTTAGATTTTAGCATCTGCCTTTGCCAGATAAATGTAGCAACGTTCGAACCATTGGAGATAGAGATTAGACGCAAAACGCGTTATCTAATGACCTCACAATTGTTAAATTATGGCTTTGTCTCTAGAATAATTTTTTCAGATCCAGATCAGACAGATAGCTTTGGAAATAAACTTGCTCATTCAGTACTTTGTGTAATGGAAGAGCATCATCCATATGTAGAAGCATTAATTGATAGCAGACTACCAGAGTGGAAAGGAATATGGTGCAATCCAGCTAAACATAAAATGTACCTTAGAGGAACCTCGACATTTCCAAGATACCCAGGACTTCTCAATCGAAGACCCTGGCCATGCAGAAAATTTTCACTCAGAGATTAGCTCAATAAATGGAGGAAGTTCGCTAATAATCCTTTATTAGCGTATAATGGGAATTATGGACGTCTAGTTTGCGAAGATAGAAATCAGAAGATATATTGTAACCTAGCTATCCCAGGATATCCCTTCAGCAAAGAAACATTTGTCGATGAAAGTCAGTATCCTAACTATTAGCATAATGTCTCTCATGAGTCACCACTAATGGGAGAAGATGACCAAGATAATCAATGGGAAGATGAACCAGCCATGGGGGATGATTTTTACGACCAACTCTCAGCGGCAGACCTAGATAATCAATGGGAAGACGAATTCTTCTAATGCTATATATAAATGATCTATGTGACTATTTTTATCTGGGCTAAATACTAATACGTCATCTATATATACCAGTATAAAACTATATTTATTAAATATACTATCCGTCTTACGCTGAAATATGGAATGTGCATTTTTTAGTCTAAAAGGCATAACTAGCCATTCGTAATGTCCTTGTGGGCAACAAAAGGCTGTCCACTGTATGCTTTCTTTTTCCATTTTTATCTGCCAAAATCCCGACTTGCAATCAAATTTACTAAATATTTTTGCTGTCTATATTCTGTTTATGAGCTGATCTTTATCTGGTATATTATATTTATCATCTTTTGTGTTATTATTTAATCTTTTATAATTTATAACCATTCTAGTTTTTCCTTTTTTTATCTCTGCATGATTTCTAACCATGAATGCAGTGCTCCTATGTGGACTATTACTTGGTCTAATTACTCCTAAATCTAGTAACTCCTTAATCTATGTTCTAAATTCTTCTATATCTGCTAGCGTATGATCTATTTGTGCTGAGGTAATCCTATAATCTTTGTTTTTTATATCTAAACCGGCTAAAACTTTATTTCTTTCCCAATATTTCATGGGTTGTTCTCCTAAAATCTCTGTTGTTTCAGCTAATCTTATTATTTCATCTAAATCATTTTCTGTTCGTCTGTATACTGGTTTTTTCTTTAATTTCTCTATCTTTGTAAAAAATAATTCTTGGTTAACTGTTTGTTGAAAATCTTCTAAGTTTCAATAGTCTCATTTTTCTTTAGAATCAAACTCTTCTAAATCTTCTAATTCATAATTTTCTGTCTACATTTTTCAAAGAAGTATTTGCTATCTCATCAGGTATATATTTTTGGGCTAGCTCGGGAAAAATATTTCTACTAGGAAATAACAAAATTCATTCTATATATTTAGAATTATTCATGCTTTCCACTGTTTATTTAAGTTTTGTGTCTACAATCACATTTGTTGAAGCTGTCAATTGTTTCACTGTGACTCCTTTTGCTTCTCTTATACACAAATACCTTCATTATGTATATTAGGATAATTACGTTCACCGCCCTTGACAATTAGTATAATTACATCTTGCCCCGTTAATATGGGATAATTACACAAGTCTCCTCTCACTTGAACTGTTGTGTATACCCATTATGATACATTTTGTTAGCCTTATAGATGTTTTGACCATGATATCAACATATCATTGTTGGAAAATAATAATTTTTTGGCAACTTTAATTCGAAATTAAAGTGGGACCCAACTGTCGGTTGAGGTAGATCTTAGTGGTTTTGTATTTTCTTAAGTGAGAATATTGCAATACAAAAATAATGAGCTGAAACCATTGAGTTGTGAATGAGAATTGTCTCATAAAGTGTGCATCAATAAAGTTAGGTTTAGATTTGGATTTAATCATGGTTTGGACTAGGCCTAGACTTGTACTTGTGCATGTGCTGGGTTTAGTCTTAAACTTAGACCTAGTCTTGAGCTTTGGGTTGAGTTGTGCTGGGCTTAGTTTGTACATGTGTTTAAGATTGGGTTTGGATCAGGTTGTGATTTAACACTCGTATTCATTTTACAACCTATCTAGTTTAATTCTCAAAACTTGTACATTATATACACATTATGATTTATATAATGATTTTGGAGTTTTGAACCTTTGTAACTCTGATCCTAATGGCTAGAGTTGATGGCATTTGATGACCCATGTTAGCCTTCATGGCTAAGACTCTCCCCTACTAGTATAAATAGAGACATTTCTCCTCCAACTTAGTAGGTTATTTTAGAGAGGTTTTGTGATGGAAAATGAGATGGTGTTTTGAGAAAAAAAGTTGAAAATGGTTTTTTATACAAAAAAAAATTATTTTTATCTTTTTTTGTTAGCCTCTTCTTTGGTTCTTGTTAGAGAGAGTGCATCCATTGTCAAGTTCGCCGAAACTATTCAGAAGGTGTTTTTGTATTAACTGGTTTCGACCGTCGTATCTTGGAAGGTAGACGCCGGCATACCTCCAGCACCCATCAAGAGATGGTGAATCTGTTTTAATGAAACTGTGGTATCACACAGGTTTCGTTTTGTTTCTTTTCTTATTATTTGTTTTTTAATTTTTCAGAATTTAGTTTACCTCAGTGAGTTCTAATATTTAGTTGTCCATGTTAATAATTTGTTCTTTTAGTAATGTAATATAATTTATTTCTGTATTTAGTTGTCGTTTATTCTGTATTTCATCCTTTAATAAAAAAAATTATTTTGTCATTTCTATTTAATTTATTTTATATATTTTTCTTGTATTATTATGGAAAAATACCAACAATCATAATATGAAATGTCTAAAATACTCTTAATTATTTAAAGTAATTAAATAACCCTAACTGACTGAAATGATTTGTGCTCATTGATATGTATTGATATAAAAGAAGAAGAAATGACTTAGAATTCACATAAATTCACTCTTATTTCCATATGCATTTCATTACGGCTAAGTATGAGACTCTGAAGAAGGTGAAAGTGGCCATTTGAGGATCTAAGGAAGGAGGTGGTGAATACAAAGGTCCCACAACAAAGAAAAATTCATTACACAAATAATCTAAAGGTAAGAAAGAAAGGCATTTTTACTATGTTTGGTTCTACTTTTTTGAGTTATTTTTATAATTTTGATTTAAAAACTGTTTTTTGAAAAGTGACTATTGCTTGGTTTCACTTTTTAATTTTGCAAATGGAACTCCCTCCACATTAGATTTTGAGCAACGTAAATGATGAAGTTCAACAATAAAATAACAAATAAAAAAATAAGAACATATCACATCAAAAGCAATACAGAATCTTGGCATGACAACCGAACAAGAAGAAGTTCGGTTTGGTGAAGATGTAATAAACAAAGCAATAGGTAGTCTATTGAGGCAAGTAGAGTTATTAGTGCATGCTCTATCCATCTAATCACTTTATGCAAAATACAAAAAGGCAAGTTTGATAATCATTTTATTTTTAGTTTTTAGTTTATATTTATAAAAAATTTAAAAATTATCATAAAAACTTCTTCGGCAATTTTTTTAATTTATAAATAATTGTCTCAGTTTATAAATTTGAGGAAAAAATATAAACTTAAAAAATGAGTTTACTTTTTTAGTTTTTAATTTTTTTTTTTTCAAATAATTTTCTTTTCAATTAATTTTTTTTTCAAATATTTTTTTCCCAATTAATTTTTTTTCAATTATTTTTTTAATTAATTTTTTTCAAATATTTTTTTATTAATTTTTTTTTCAATTAGTTTTTTTTTCAAATTATTTTTTTTCAATTAATTTTTTTAATTAATTTTTTTCAATTATAATGTGTGTAATCCCATTGTCATAAATAATAAAAATAAATATAAATATTTTTGCCCTGAACAAACATATTTTTTAGTTTATGTTTTTTAATTTTTTTAAACATTTTGTTCAAACCAAACGCGTTTGTAATTTATGTTTTTCAAAAAATAAACAAAAACCAATTTATAGAATTTTTGTAAACATAAACAAAAAAAACGTAAACGTTACCAAACACTACCAAAATATTTCTCTATTTCCCAAATGCTTCTTGAAAATTAGATTTTGAATTTTTTTTTCCCTTAATTTTTTGGATAACCAAACAAAAATTCTAAAATTTCTTAAAAATTGAATTTAGAATTTAGGAATCAAACCGCGAGATTGACATTGAGATTACGCTTCTATTATACTGTGATTTGTCTTTCGTTAATGAAGTAGGATTTGATATATTTCACATACATCACCAAAATGGTAATTAGATAAATTTCATCTTTTTTTAGTTTCTACTTATCATTCTAACTTGAAAATTTGGGAATAAATCATTTATTTGTAGATTAAGCTGTTGAGGATGAATACTTGGATTATGAGGCATTTTATTTTATTTTCATTCTGCATTTTAGAAAACATCATTTCTTATTTCACCAAAACGATTAACATTTCAATTCATGATTTTACAACAATGCATTGAATTGCCAGAGTCTAACAAACAGTAAAAACTAGTTGCATCAATCATCATCTTCATCACTGTCTCAGATGTTGGACAAATCTTTCTAAATTCTTACAAGAAGATCCACCTTTCTCAATGCTCTTTCTAGCAATTTCCTTCAACTTCAAACTATTCGCTTTCATATCATCATCAGAAAGCAAATTCTCAATCTTGTTCTTAATTTCGTGCCTCGATACAATCTTATTTTCATCGTATTCTAACCTTAAACCAACTTTCCAGACATCACAAATATAGCTTCTGTTATGAAATTGGTCCCCAAAGTAAGGCCAACACAGAAATGGCACGCCACTGCTCACACCCTCCATTGTTGAGTTCCAACCACAATGTGTAAAGAAACAAGCAATTGCTGGGTGACCTAACACCTTCTCTTGAGGTGCCCATTCGACAATCTTCCCCCAACCAGCCACTTTCTCTGCGAACCCATCTGGGTATTCGGCAAATGAACGATTTGTGAGGTCTGATCGAACAATCCACAAGAATGGTCGGCCTGCAAGTAGGACGGGACAATGAATCAATCTACTATTAAATTTAACGATTTTGGGACACTAGTTAGTCTTCTAAAGTGTACACGTAATGGAAATTTGGACACAAGGACCAAAATTAAAACTAGACTTATAGCGTAAAGATCAAATTGAAACAATAGGGACCAAAATGAAATTTGGATTAAACTATACTGCTAAAAAGTGTACTTTACCCTAGATTAGCTTGATTAAAACTCTTTTAAGATCAATTAGAATGATAAACAAGTCAAGCTTAAACACATTTTGAAATTCGTTAAGTTTTTAAATCAAACTTGAACAATCCACTACTCTACTCAGCTAGACTTGACTCCTTTACAGCTTTACCTGCAAGTTCAAGACCAAGGGCCAATTCAAGGAACTGGTTTTGGCTGAAGACTGTTGTGCTGCCAAAAGCAACATAAACAACTGAACCTATAGGCTGTTCATTGAGCCAGTTCCAACAAGTTGAATCCTGGAGCCTCAAGCTTCCGCTAGAATGCCTCTGCTCATCGCTCGTGAGCAGTGGTCCGACAGGCAGCATTTTGGGAACCAACTGGCAAATTGGCGGGTTGAGTTCGTAGAATGTGTTGCAGAGAAGCCAGGTAGAGAGTTCAATACTTTGGTTGATGGACAGAACATTTTCAAAGAAAATCTTCTGTAATTTGGGATCACTTGTGTTGCACCAACTAAACTCGGTGGTGCTCCAAGCAGGAACGTCCTTTGACAAGATGATGAGCTCATTTCTCAAAACAGTTCCTGCAGGGAACAGAAATCAACAGGTTAATGTTTGATTGTGTTTTTGTTTTTGTTCTTCATGTTTTCTGAGATGGAAATAATGTACAGTTTAAATACATGCGCCCATCGTTTCAATGTCATTTTTATTTATGTGCAAAAATAGTTTTCGAAAATTCAAAAAACTTAAAGTGGATTGTTTTCAGAAAATAAAAACAGAAAACAAATTGTTGTTGTCATGGTTGGTTGTATTTTCTTTTTTTAGAAAACAATGTTTGGCTTATTGTTTTTAAAAATTTATTTTTCATATAAATTAATGAAAGTCGACGGATTTTTTCGCCCTTTTTTGTGTTCAACAAAAACAAACTTAATTGGATGAAATTATTCTTCACTTTTAAAAAGTAAAATAAATAAATAAAATCCCACAATAATTTGAAAAATATTTACCGATCAAAACAAACAGAGCATTGGATAAATTAGACAGAATAAGAAAGTGAATAGATATCTTCTTCTTCTTACCATTCATATCTAAAACCCCTAATTCAACAAGCTTTGGAAGGTGAGGAAGCATGAGTAAACCCCCTGGTCCAGCAGGCCACACTACAGCTTGCTCAATTCCCATATCTTTTGCAACCTCTAGTATCCACCCTAGGGTTGCATCTGCTATGACACACCTAATCATCTTCTCCTCCGATTGGCCAATCTTTTCAATCAAATCCTTAAGATGACCCGGCATGACTCGCCGGATACTCTCCATTACTTTGACACCGTCCCTCTGATCATCACCGGGTCCCAATCCGTCAGGAATCGAAACTAGTCTTACCCGGTTTTTCAATTCTTCATCCTTGTCATCTGGCATAGCACTCATGATCTTGGCATGTATGAACTCCGTGTTAACAGCTGTAACTTTGATCCCATAATCAGCAATTTTGTGTGATAACTTCAAGAGAGGTACGACATGCCCTTGTGCCGGGTATGGCACAACCACTACATGCGCTTGCTTGATCATCATCACAGATTCTTTGTTTCATGAGACTCACCAAAACAACCTGTTCAGTAATGGTGTGGATGGGTTGAGTCTTATAAACAGCCTCTCCATCTATATAGGAACGTTTACACCCAAATCTTAATTTATTAACATATATTTCATTAACTCTTAATTAAAATTGGTTAGACTTTCAAATTTTATTAAATTTTTAATAGTTAAAATTGTCTTTAAAATAATAATTATTTATCATTTATAATTATCTATAAAAGAACATAATGATTTGACATATATTTTGGTTTTTAAAATTTTAAAATATCAATTTGTAAATTGAAAAAATTTTAAAAAATTATGTCAAAAAAATTATTTTTTTTTTGAAAAAATTATTTTTTTGTGTAAAATTAAAAATTTTTTATGTACAAAAAAATATAATGATGAAATATTAATTCAAAACTGAAAAAAAAAATTAATAATATTTTTAATTTTAAAACTAAAAAAAAAACTGTTAATTTTTTCAATTTAATGAAAAAAATTAGGATATGAGTCATGCTAATCCACACAACACATAGGATGATCGGTCTAGAGTGATTCTCATTTTTCAAGATTTTGACTGGCATGCGTTGAAGTTTTGGAACAGAAAAACCAATTGATTTCTATACAAACAAATAAAAAAATCATTTGGCTTGCATTTTTCTTTGTATACGTAACTTTTATAATATATATTTGGCACTGTTTGAGAAGATGGTTTGAGAGTTTTTTTTTTTATTATTTTAGTCAAAAAAAAAATAAAATAGATTATTTTAGACACAATAAATAAAATACTATATTTAATTTATAATTATTACACTTTTTTCTCACAAAAAAAGTCAAAAAATTTAAAAAGTCAAAAAATCATTCCTAAACCAAACATTTTAACCCAGGTTAAAATAACCAAAAAATTAAAAAGCCAACCCACTTCTCAAACAAAGTCTTTGGAAAAGTTTATGGTATATATACACCATCTTTGGTTACAATCAGTTTCAGTTACTATCTTTGTTTCTTTTGTTATGACTTCCTATAATATTAGTATGATATATTATAATGTTAATTATAATATTATTTTGATTATAATTTAAGAGTTATTTAGTTATACTTTATGTAATGTTTAGTTATAAGTTTATTTTTTTAAGGAGTGTTTACATATAAATCTTAATTTATGAACTTATACTCTATTAAGGCTCCGTTTGGGAAAATGGTTTATGGGCTTTTTTGGCTATTTTAGCCACAAAAGACAAAATAGGCTATTTTAGCCACAACAAACAAAACATCACATCCAACTTATAATCATTACACTCTTCTCTTACAAAAAAAAGTTAAAAAAGCTAAAAAATCAAAAAGTCCTTCCCAAATCAAACTTTTTAGATCATGCTAAAATAACCAAAAAAACCAAAAAGCTAAAAAACTAACCCACTTCCCAAACGAAACCTAAGTTCTAATTAAGATTTTTTGAACATTCAAGTTCCATTAAATTTTTAATAGTCAAAATTGTCTTTCAAACAATGATTGTTTATCATTTATAACTATCTATAAAAGAACATGATGATTTGACATTTCTTTAAAATTAAAAAAACCAAAACAAAATTATATGTTAAAATATATTTTTTTTAAAACTGAATTTTTTTCTTGTAAAATTAAAAATTTTGTGTCTATAAAATAGCATGATGATAGAACATTAATGTGAAAAAAAAACTTTAAAAATGAAAAAATTGATAATGTTTTCAGTTTTAAAACTAAAAAAAAACTATTAATGTTCTTTGTTTTATTGAATAGTTGAATCAAATCAATAACTAAAAGGGCAAAAATATTTAATCTCCTACTCTATTTTTTTATCAATTAGTAAAATAATTATTTGTACATTATTATACAAAATTGATAATGTTCTTAGTTTTAAAATTTTAAAAAAATTGATAATATTTTTAATTTTACTAAATAAAAATTTTAATAATACCTAAACTACCATAAATAAATTTTTTAAATAATTGACTCATCTATATATAACCATCAAGCCACTGCCAATCGGTAATAATAATAATAAATAACCCTCATGAGATGACAATTTAACATTCAAGGCATGAGAGAGCGTGAGAGTGTGGGCAACATTGTGAGAACTAGGGCTGAGCAAGGAATCCGTGAAATTCGTAATCCAATCCAGTCCAGTCCAATCCAGTAGGTTTGGATTAATTTTTTGAATCCGTGGTTCGGTTCCGGATTGAAAAATTAAAAATCCGTAGTTCACGGATTGGTTCCGGATTGAATCCCACGGTTCCGGATTGGAACCGATCCGGACCGTATACAAATAGTTTATATTTTTATTATACACCCTCCTGCATAGTATCTTCTCTTATTTCATATAAAACTTAAATCCAAACCTAAACTTGCATAGTATCTTCTTTTATTACTTTTGTTTGCTAGTTTTTAGTGTTAATTTATAATGGTCTAAATACTTATGGTGGAACTAATTTCTTTATGGTTGTTTAAATTCTAGAACAGTTTGTCGCTATTATGAAAAGACATATTGCTATTGTGAAACTAATATGACGCTATATTTATATTTTTATGAAAATAAAGTGTTATATATATATTTTTGTTATTTAATTATATAAATCCGTGGTCCTAAACCGATCCAATCCGTATTTAAATGGATTGGTTCGGATTGGTTCCACGATTTAAATGGATTGGATTGGTTCCAATTTTTCAGGATCTGTAAATAACGGATTGGTTCTGGTTTCACTCCAATCCGGTCCAATCCGGACCATGCTCACCCCTAGTGAGAACTCGTCTTAGACAGGGGCCCTCTGGACCCATCTTAAGCACCGTTTGGAAAGTGATTCTGTGGGTTTTTTTTTTTTTTGACTATTTTATTTATAAAAGATAAAATAAGTTATTTTAACCACAACAAATAAAATATCGCATCTAACTCATACTCATTACACTATTCTCTCACAAAAAAAGTTTAAAAAGTCAAAAAAACTAAAAAGTCTTTTCCAAACCAAGTTTTTTAGCCCAGACTAAAATAGCCAAAAAAGTCAAAAAGTCAAAAACTCTACCCACTTCCCAAACTAACCCTTAATAAGGTAAATTCGATAGAGTTATACTAGATATTTTAAATAATTTATTAAATTTCTTATTAAAGATCTCATATTGACTCCCACACATATGAATTTGTGTGAGTCCCACATGTGAGAATTTTGATAAAAAAAATTGATAAATTGTTTAAAATTTATAGTTTTTTCCAATTCGATATTCAAAGGTGTTGAGGGACTCATATAAGGTGTTTGTTTCAGCTTTTCAGAGCTAACTTATGGCTTTTAGCTTTGAAAAAATTATTTTGAACTGTTTGGTTAAACTTATTTCAAACAGCTTCTGATTCTAACAGCTTATTTTAACTCAAAAAAGCTGCTCACCCCTTACTTCTGATTATCAGCTTCTGCTGTGGACATATTAATTTATAGTTATACTCTTAAATTTTTTTATTTTTTATTTTTTTAAAAATAGAAAAAAGACTCAAATGAACTATAAATTATTATTATTATTTTTTATGAGAAATGTAGACAAACAAAAAATAAAAATTAATTGAAAAAGTTATTTCACAGCTTATTTAACAAATACTACTCAGCAACTTAAATCTATAATCCAACAGCTACACCAAACAGATTAACAACTTCTGATTAAAGTCATAATCTATAATCTGTTAAGTTATAATGTATAAGCTGTTTTAACAGCTACACCAAACGGGGCCATAATAAGATAAATTCCATATTCAAAGGTCACCCAAGTCCGTGAACCAATCGAGAACATAGAGGGAGCATATTCCAGTGCTTTAACATTTTTTTTCTTCTGACTAGTAAGGTCAAGTTTGGCATATTACAAAAAAGTCAAAAAGCAACAAAAGTTATTCAAAAAGTTAAAAGGTTAATACTATTCACCAAAAGTCAACAATTACGGCTGCACAACTCCCAATCTTAATTTTTCCCTCTAACATTTCTCAAATCTTTAAGGTAAGTTGTGGAGAAATTAAGGCCAAGTTTGGGTACTCTCCAAAAAGTTAAAAAGTCAAAAAATTACTCAAAAAGTTAAAAAGTTAACACTATTAACCAAAAGTCAACAATTACGGCTGCACAACTTCCAATTCGAATTTTTCCCTACAAATCAATTTTTATAATTTTTTATTACACATTTTTCCATGAAAAGTCAAAAAGTTAACCCAAAAATCCATATTTTTTCTTCAATTTTTTAATCCAAAAGACAAAAAATATATTTATTTAAGACATCCCAAACAACCCCTTTACCTATATGCAGCCTGAACTAGTTAGCCCATCTAGTTTTTGGCTTGATATATTTGGTTTTCCAATATTTGGCAATTTGTCCAGGTGAGTGATTTGTGAGTCACGCTATCTAAGTTCATATATTTGTTAGTCAAATTGACATGGATTTCGCCTTTTATTATTACAATATTTGTGTTTTTCCATTTGGTTTTATAAAATTCTTGTTGATTCAGTCATAGGAAAAGGACTTCTCATCAACATTCTATGTTATTTTTTGGAAAGTGAGCTTGCTTGTTTTCTCTTTTCAGAAGATACTTTTCAAAAAATTTTAATTTCTTATTTATCGTATTTTTTTGTTTTTATTGAATTTTTTTAATATTTTAAACAATTTTTTTATTTTTTAGACACACCTAACATAAATACACTTAAAAAGTAAAAAAACTATAAAAAAAATCTTTTAAAAATTCACTAAACACCAAAAATATAACAAAAAAATACAAGAATTCAGTACATTTTTTATATTTCTATGTATTTATTAATTCTTTAAAATATCTTCTCACAAATTTTTTACTTTTAGATACATCTAACTAAGGTGCATCCAAAAAAGTAAAAAAAAAAATGTTTAAAATTTAAAAAATATTCACTAAAAACAAAAGAATATGAAGGCCTTATGAGTTAATTGCATGTGTTATGAGCTATATGAGTTTCTATCTATCTATTGTAGGAATATTTGTTTCTGTTTCTGTTTTGTACTGCGAATTGAAGGCCTTATCGGCATCCAATCACGAAATTGACTTGAGTTATGTGCA